TGTGTGTGTGTGTGTGTGTGTGTGTGTGTGTGTGTGTGTGTGTGTGTGTGTGTGTGTGCGCGACCCAGGGGCGCTGCGTGACTCAAGTGGACCTACAAAAGCCAGAATCAGGAGGTCTCGGCTTCAGCGTGGTGGGCCTAAAGAGCGAGAACCGAGGAGAGCTCGGCATCTTCATCCAGGAAATTCAACCAGGAAGTGTGGCTGACTGGTATGTGAGACCCAACATTCCATTCTTCAAAGATTAAAATCGTATCCTAACAAAGTCAACGTTCCAGAAAATGTTTCAACATTTTGGCCATTTGTTGAAGAATTAAAGATTTGAGAAGTTAATTTCAGACAGTCGGGGACTTATACAGATGTTCTGGAATATTTCAAATTGGCCTATTTTACTAGAAATGAAAATAAAGTTTTTACAAATTTTTTTTAAATTATTTTTTGCGAAATGTGTGGCTTTGAGATGTTTTCTTCAAATTGAAACCTTTCATTACATTAATGTTACTCAAATAACAACATAATATAAAATAATTAGATATCAGAGGCTTTGACACCATTTAGCGTACCATACCCCTCTCTCTCCCTCACTGCGACCCTCCATGCTACTTCCCCCCCACAGTGATGGGAAGCTCAAAGAAGCTGACCAGATCCTAGCCATCAATGGCCAGCTCCTGGACCAGAGAGTGACCCACCAGCAGGCTATAGGAATCCTGCAGAGTGCGCCAGAGAGGGTGCAGCTCGCTGTGGCTAGAGGACCAATACCTCAGCTGGTCAGTCCTGCGGTGTCCCGCACGCCCTCGGCTGCCAGTACGCTGTCAGCCAGCTCCAGTGCGGTAAAGATACACTCATACTAATGTCATGAATAAAAACTTGCATTTGCACGCCCCCAACTTGCAAATATTGAAAACAAGAATTGTGCAAACCGAATTTTTTCACTTTGATTCTTGTCTTTTGCTACGCCTAGTGGCAGCACGTCGAAACGATTGAGCTGGTAAACGATGGCACTGGACTCGGCTTCGGTATTGTGGGAGGAAAGACCACTGGGGTTATTGTCAAAACCATCCTTCCTGGAGGCATAGCTGATCAGGTGATTGCATTAATGCCTCCCTACTTTCTTTGGGAATTTGCTTTCAGAGTGTTGAGCCTTGTTAATAGTTGTTTATACAGTATTTGCCATAAAATGGCTTTTTTTGTATTTTATGACACTTTCAATGTTCCAGAGAGATGGCTCTTGTCAGTTAGATATAATGAGAATTGCAAGCAAGCACATAATTAACTGTCACTCTTGTCTTTTGTTTGGTAGCGATAGTGTCATTATGGGTTCTATTGAAGCTACACAGACTAAGTCAGAAAACATACTTTTTTTCTACCGCAGGATGGCCGCCTGCGCAGTGGGGACCACATCCTGAGGATCGGAGACACTGACCTGTATGGCATGGGCAGCGAGCAGGTGGCCCAGGTCCTCAGGCAGTGTGGTGACAGGGTGAAGCTGGTGGTTACCAGGGGTCCTGTGGACGAGAACCCCTCTCTCTCTGCTGTCATGCCTGTGGTGCTCCCCACTGTCAATGAACAGGTAAGAACCAAAAACACGGCAGAAAATCAATTCAAATTCTTACAATGTGGAAAATGTGTCACATTGAAATTGGTTGAAATATTTGGAGTATCGGTATAGTAAGTGGTCAGAAAGCAGTTTCTCTGTAACAAATAGTCAAGATGATGATTCAGAGCTCAAGTTCAGGTCTGTCATCTCCAGTTCTGACCTCGACGGCCGTGAATGAATAGCAGGTTGCCTGTGACTCACACACCGCAGAGCAGATGTTTGAAAAGCAGCGATTTCATGGCTACTCAGTACTTAACCCTATTTAAACATGAATAAAATGTAGTGACTCACTATAGGACTGACATCATACCCTTTGTATTGCACATATTAGCTGTGATTTTATGGTGAACAGGTTCAGAGCGCTGAAAAAAAGGTATTTTGCTGCCCATGTGGTGCAGTCAGATGCCATGATTTGCTTTTCTGCTGTTGTCAAATGTATCATCCTTTACTTTCATCTTGTTATCAGTGGATGTTGACCTGTCCCTTGCCATTAATCTTTTTCACAGGGCTACGAGGAAGAGGAGGACGAAGCATTTGATGTGAGCCTTACCAAGAACACCCAGGGACTGGGGATCACTATTGCTGGCTATGTTGGAGATAAAAATGCAGGTGAGAAATGGCAGCCTTCCCTTTTCAGAGTAGATGACCCTTTCAATTAAAGTGTCATATTGGAGTTTAATTGCCTCCGCGCTTCACTAAATACTCGTATAAGTTGCAATGATGAATTCATTCTCGCCTATAATCACTGGATCAAGCGTGGAATATGAAAGCGGTTGCTGGTTGTGATGATCCTGGTATTAACATCCAGGTCTACAGAGTGTTTCAGCATTTGTTTTTTTTTTTTGTTTTTTTTAACAGCTGATTGTTTTGAGTGAATCGCAGACTTCATATTTTCACTTTTATAAAATGTAGCAATAAGCTACAATACAATGGGACCACAGACAGCCTGTTATTAAAGCTGTGATATTTATTGAATTGACTATTGAATGGCCTTGCATTGTTAAAATTCTTTGTTTTTCAAGGTTAGCTCAGGTGCACTGGGTTCATCACATCATTTTTTTACGAGTTGTGTACTGTGATATTTAAACATGCTCACTAACCCTGACTTTGAACATCAAATGAAACATCTGTTTGCTTTTTCTCCCTGGCTCTTAATGTCATGATTCATGGTTATGTTCTTCCATCTCTTAAATTTTTCTGTTCTTGGTCTGACTCCTCAGAGCCCTCTGGCATTTTTGTTAAGAGCATAACAAAAGACAGTGCCGTAGATCAAGATGGCCGTATTCATGTTGGAGACCAGATAATAGCTGTAAGTATCAATTATGCTCTTTGCAGCTATTAGTATTTTCTCTGTCTTCAGTGGCATGAGGCAACAAATGCAGTGAATGTTTAATATAATCTATTATAGTAATCACATTTAATCAATGGAGGGAAATTCTGAGATGCATAATGACTAATTCACAATTAACTGATTCATAAAAGTGTTTTTTTTGTTTTTTTTCCCCGTGACTGAATATAAGACTTGAATTAGCACACTGAGCAATTCAGTTTTTTCATTTCATTACTTCAGGACATTAACAACGAAGTGTAATTTCTTGCATCATTTGAAACACGAGTTGACGTTGCCCTTTGTTATCTAAAGTTCTCACAAACTCTTGTCTGCAGTGGTGTATTGGTGTTCATGTGTGCCTGATTTGAGTTCTGTTCTTAAGCATAAATGTTAATGTGCTTTGGGAACTTAAGAACGGAATAAAACACCTAATTGACTGACAATTCTTAATGCGTATGCAGTTTTTAACCTGTCTTAAATGATCTAAATAAATGAAGTTAATGGCTGAAGTAGGTGGGAATAGTCATGTGCAGCACTCTGTTTCTACCCCTGCTGGTATTTATAATCACTTTGATTAATGTTGTTTCAGTTCCACTTCTATCAAACAAGAATATAGATGTCGATTCACACTGACAATGTCAGCACAAGCTGTTCAGGCCCTTGTTTAATCCATGGGCTCACAAATGATCGCCCTCTGCAGGTGGATTGCGTAAACATCCAGGGATACACCAATCAGCAGGCAGTGGAAGTGCTCAGACACACAGGCCAGACAGTCCACCTTAAGCTGATCCAGCGGGGCTTCAGGCCTGAGGAGATCCCCCCTAATGTGGCCCCCGTTGTCACCGTCCCGCCCCTTTCCACCACCATCCCCACCACCACTGTCGTCATGATGGAGCTGGAGCTGGAGAAGAACAAGGCCGAGGAGGCTGCTCAAGGTAGGAAGGATGAAGTGAGAGAAATTTAATGAGGACAGACGAAAAACCCCATTCCCTGTTGCTCATCACCCTGTCAAAAAGAAGTTGTCATTTGATATGCAAATGTGTCTCAGACAGGAGTTTTTATGATGCAGTAACGAGTGACTCCAAATGGAAATTTCCGTCACTTTTATCAATATAGTTAAAATACAGAAACAGATTTCCTGCTGCATATAAAAACACTGACTTGAGTTGTACTGAAAGGGAGTCCAAATTGATGTCAACATTGTGATTTATTATAGAATGAGAAAAGTGGCCTTCTACTGAATATGCAGCAGGTGTCTTTATTTTTTGACAGAATTATACATTTGTTAATATTTTGATTGAATATTTGACACCGATCTTAATACTAAAAATAAACTGATTACGTTTTGCCTGTTAGAGGACTCCTCTTAATAATAGCAATATAATGAGTATGCCCACATCATTGGCCATCTTCCCTTCCTAAGAAAGTGAAGTGCACTCATTAGTAATTATCACTGACAAAGGCTAAGAGGACAAAACTATTCTCTCAGACATGTAAACACATAATCAAACAATTCCTGTCAAATCCTACCCGTCTCATTCGTTGTTATACTGCACAGGCTGAACTGACCCAACAACCACATTTCTAAAGAAAGAACCCAAAGCTTTCCATCATGTTGTTTCGACCCTGAACTATATCCAATAATAAATCAGCATGTGATGCCCAACATTTGACAGGGTATCCACACAGCTAAGACATCGACAATTGAGTTACAACTGAGGTCTGCATGTGTGTGCTAGTATCTATCATGTACTTCTTTTTAAAATGGCTTTTTTTTTTTCCCCTCGCATTTTTTACGATGTTTCCATTAAACAAGACAGACAAGAGAGTAAACAGAAAGATTCTCGTCCTGACAGGACCTCCAGGCCACTAAAGAAGCATGAAAAGCAACTTGCATGAGTTGTGCCAATAGTGATAGATGGAGCTTGAAAGTGATTCGATCTGGCAACAGGAAGTTCTAGCCCAAAAAACCTGCAGAAAAACTAGCAGCCAGAAGCCGACAAGACCGAGAGGGACAGGATTGTCTTGGCTGCTGTGAAACCAGCACTTTTGAGTATTACAGATAATAAAAAGGACTACATCAGTGCATATATGTTATGTCCCTGGAGCTCCCTTGTTATAAACACAGAATAGTTTGGTGAGTAAGAATAGATTTGAGCTAATTTACTGGGCATGGTATCACAAGTTTGATGAAAGTTGAAACGGGTCATTTAATGGTTGGGATTAACAAAATAAATTAATGACACACTTAAATTGTTGTCAAGTCAGTGTTAAGGTTGTTGAGCTCCTTCTTGCGTACCATGAGCTAGCATTAGTTTTTATGTTCGCACTTAAACGGTGCCGATGAACAGTGTAAACGGTGGCTTTCTCGGGCGCATAGGTCGTCATTTCATGGGCGACCACTTTGGTGCCCTGTGGAACTCCAAAGACATAAACCGTGGCAATAAGTTGTAAAACAACACGTACCAGGGTCATTAAACAGATGTTTGAAGTACTGGAACATTTAGAGTCAGCCATTATGGATAACATCAACAAGAGCACGTAACCCTTCTTCAGACCAATAAGGAAATTAGTTCGGTGGGTGATCGTCGTTATAAAAAGAGTAGGAGATGCTCAAACTATTTTGGAAGAATAAATTAGTATCAAATATAAAGACAGTATTTCAAATATGCTGTTAGTGGAAAATAGACTTTTTTTTTTTTCAAGTGGCTGTCTCTACTGTCATGCGTCTGTGTCGCTTGCCCACTTCCGTCTGTCTCACTATTCATTGTGTGTTTTACAGTCACTGCAGATGAAAAGCCGCCCCAGACAAAGAGTGAAGGATCTGATGTCAGCCCAGCCGCGGATCAGCTTACAGAAGACAAACATGGTAGGGGCTCGGAGGCAGGGATTCCTCTTTAAGTACACCAGCAGAGATGCTGGGCACACGTCCGACAGATAAGGGTTACGGTCGTCAGGAACACACTGACTAGCAAAACACATGGTGAGGTAATCCCGAGATGAAAAGTTTTTGTTTCAGAAGGTCTGATCTTGAAGTCAACATAAGTACTTTGCAAATAGTTTGAAATGTATTTCGCTTTGCTGGCTGTCGAATCGTTGATGGCAAACTTGCCTTTGATGTTTTGTGTATTCATACTTTTGTCTTGTTAACCAAGGGATGGAGCTAACACCCTTTGAAGAGGGGGATCTCATGAAGAAGTGGCAAGACATTCTGGGTCCAAGTAATGAAGTTGTAGTAAGTTTATTTTTCAAAGTGAATTCTTTTCTCTCATCCATCAGATATGTACTTGCCAGAACTTGTTTTCAGGGCATTTGCTTCATAATGGTAAACAGCTCAAAACTGGCATCTTAAGAAGGATGACCGTAGTCGGCAAACAAAATGAATTGAGTCATTAATACAATTTGTTTCATATGCTGGCTGAAATGTGACTTCTTGTTTCCCTAACAGGTGGCACAGGTGGAGAAGTTTAGTGAGAACAGTGGGCTGGGCATCAGTCTAGAAGCCAACAGTGGGCATCATTACATCCGCTCTGTTCTACCTGAGGGACCCGTCGGTCGCTGTGGCAAGCTGTTCAGTGGAGATGAACTGCTTGAGGTGTGCAGCCCCTAAATGAAAGAGCATTTCATTATCAACAGTGTAGACCTTTTCATATTGCATTTGCCATTTTTTGCCATGAACACTTATACGTTACTGTGATATAATACAAATACACATACCTGAGCTAAAAGGTGGCCAGAGACATGCCTCCATATGAATGCCAATGTTGCTCAGTGCCTGCTGGATGTGTAAACAGGCAACGGTTTGCTGACAAGAAAAATTAAAAAAAAAAATCAACGCTGCTTTAAAAACCATTGCTACTGAACCAAGTTTTGAATGAAGCTAATATTAGCCTCTCCTTTTGTAGGTCAATGGTTTATCCCTGATTGGTGAAACCCACAAGGAAGTAGTCAGAATCTTGAAGGAGCTTCCACTTTGCGTAAACATGACATGCTGTAGGCCCGCCCCTCACCTGCAGACTGACATGGATGCTGTCCAACCAGAATCAGAGACTTTGTCAACAACATCACAATTAAAGGTATTGCGTTTGCACTGCTGAACTACAGCAAATGTACTCCTATGTATTACTTTCTTAAATGTACATTTTTTTTTTTTAAATTTCATAACGCATCATTACATAGAATTTGTCAAGTATTGTTATGTTAAAGAAATGTTGAGTGACTGAATGAGCTCATGGCTATAATCGTGCGGGGTATTGCAGCAGATGATGCTTATTAGTAGGTACGGAAACTCCCTGCATCCTCTCAAAATGCATTCATGTGAATCATGAAAAATGTTTCCCCGCCTCTGCATATATGTATTAACAAGGGAATATGATTGAGGAGCAATACTCCTGCAGTCCTCCTCCGTTATAACCCATCAACTGTTATTAGCTTAGCCGATGTGTCAATCGCTCCATTGGCTTTCCACATTGTCAATGATGATGGATAAAGACTTAACAATACACAGGGGAGGCTGAAAGTTTATTAAGACCAATTCTAGTGAAACCTCAGCAGCCGCAGCAGCAGCCAGCAACATTTGCTGGAGATATGAGACATCAAAAGCGGCTTCCCTTTGGGGACGTGGTTTTCATCTTTCCAGCTTTATCTGTGATAATGTACTACTAAGGCCCTGGCATCCCAAAGATATTTCCCTTTTATCTGCTGCCAGTAACCTGAGCCAGAGACACAACTAGAGGGTAGCGGTCTATGGGGTTGGGAGTTAAAGTGACGAAGGCATGCTGTTACATAGAGATTTTGGGATTTTGCTCTGCAGAAACAAATGGACCAGAGCAGCGTACTTGCTGAAGACTCAGAGGTGAATGTAGCGGCAGCGGCACGGGATAATGCGACAGTGGAGACGATAGGATCTTCTTTGGCTATGTGGGAATTGGAGATCCAGAACATCGAGCTTGAAAAGGGAGAAGGGGGATTGGGATTCAGCATTCTGGACTACCAGGTGGGAAATCTTCCTGGGATTTATAGTTGTAACACCAACGTATTGGTACTTTTATAGATGTTGTATTTGTTACTATTTTACAACAAAGTATTTGTACGGGTATATATGCTGTTGTATTTATTTCCATCATAAACATATGGAGCAGTAAATTCCGTCTCAAGGAAAGCGATACATAACGTTTACGTAATGTTTAAATTCATTTTTTTATATCGGAGTATTGTTTTTTTTTTTTCATCCACATTTAAATGCTTCTTCTGACAGTCATGCAAGTATCTCCACAGAAAGAAAGAACATACTGTATCACGCTAACCTTACTTATTTAGGCCTTTGTATTCCTTGTGGAAGTTATATTACTCGACAAATGAATTAAATTCCCTGTAATAAAGGCTGTGATAGTTTACCTTTTGACATCTTGTGCATTTTACCGGACCGGACTTGCCATAGGACCCACTGGACCCCGCCAAGACGGTGATCGTGATTCGCTCTCTGGTTCCCAGCGGTGTGGCCGAACAGGATGGCAGACTGTTGCCAGGAGACCGACTCATGTACGTTAACACCACCAACCTAGAGAACGCCAACCTGGAGGACGCTGTCCAGGCCCTGAAGGGAGCCAACCTCGGCAAGGTCCAGATAGGAGTTGCCAAGCCACTGCCTGTAAGCATTAAACATAGGCATACAAAATACTATCTGTTGGGGTTACTTCAAGTTTTATACATATTGCGTTTTTGTCGTTTTGGTAAATCTTTCAGCATGTTGGGAGTTCTTCACCGTGTATGCGAGGTTGTGAGTCAGGTTGTCTCTATATCATGTGACTCAGGATCTAGTCGTGAGGGTTCAGCTTACGAGGGCATGAATTTTTCATCCAGGAAGAAAGAGTGGAGGTTGGCTGCATGGTGTAGCATTCCACCCGCTGCTCATTCAGAGGAGGCGACCAGCCTGAAATGCTTTGCGCCCTTTGTTTCATATATTATGTTATTGAATTTTCCAAGAGCACATACCCTCTTGTACACTTAAACACACTCGGGCACCTGTCAAAATATTGGGTCGGTCGGTTCATCGCTCCAGGCCTCTGTACACTTCGTACAGGATGTTTCTCTCTGCAAAACTGCATTTTTCCAGCTTTAGAGCTACATTTCTCCTGTATTGAGTCTGCGGTTGGAATACACAGTGAGACATCTGGGCTGCCAAGGTTAGCTGGATTACAGAGCTGTAGGAAGCCTATATGTGGAATAATCCAACTCTCCTGCAAGACGTGGAATGTACCTCTGAGGGGTGTTTTGGGGCATTGCCTCTCGAAACTGAGTCTGACAGTGTGCATTCTTGGTTTTCTTAGATCTACCCAGGCTGCATGCTTTACAAAATCAATATCAGGAGCTAACACAAAATAAAACATACTTTCTTTTAAGAAGTAATTCAAAGAGTCATGAATGTGCCGTTATGAGCTATTTCTCTGTTTGAACACTTGTGCTCCAAGATCAATATTAAACTCCAGAATAAGTGTATTCAAATCTGAGTAACTTCTAACACCATTTTCATTTCATACTAATTTATTTGTACTTGATTTGGTCACAAAAATAAATAAAATCTAATTACAATGAAGCTGGAGACACTGAAAGAATTTCTCCACTTTCCTAGGGAATATGTGGATATTCCCACTCTCCACACCCATATGGTGAGCAGGAAATTACTTCATCATCCACCATCCATTCATTTGACTTCATAAATATTTGGGTTGAAGGAGAGGAAGAAGGACTGACTGAGGGCATCGTTTACCGAGCAGAGCCTGCATTGGTTAGTTAGCTTTTGGGAAAAGATGTGATATTTGCTTCTGCCTAATTTTACCAAGAGAGGTCTGTTTGTTTTGTAGTCATGCATAGTTATCTTATATAAGCATTATCCTGACAAATAGATTATGGGATTAATTAAGGGATACATATATGTTGTATTTTGTAGCTGGAGAAGTTGTCTGTGCTTAGATAGTCCACCATATTGATCAATATTTAAGGCCCGTCGAGTGTCCCCCGTTGGTTACGCTACTTCCGTTCGTTATCACAGATTGACACCTGTGAAGCGGACCTGTCTGACGAAAAGGTGTTAGATCTTACTTACTCTGGGACAGAGGACGACACTTTCCAGGCATCCATGATTGCTCTTCATGGTAGCAGCTGCAGCGCAGACCTGGATTACCTGCACTCATCCACGCCCAAGGTAAGCAAGCACAGGAAATCCACAACTGAAACCGAAAGCACAGCTTGAAATCATCCTCTTATTTCATTAAATGGTGCTGCAACAGTAATTGCCCCTTTTTCACCATAGCTATACAATACAGCATGTAGTCATTTTTCTTTATTTTTGTTTTGCTAGCAAGAGTCAAAATGTCAGGAGAAGTGTTCATTTTCTCTTCGGTAAGGCAGAAACATTATTTGTTGTTATATGGGGGCTGTGGCTGCTGTTGTTCTGGCTGCCCAAGAGCAGCAGCGACTCCCCAAATGGATATGGAAGCATTAAGGAAAATAAACAAAGGGAGAGCAAGGGGCACACAAACTGTTTTCCAAAAAGTCACAGCTGACCTTATTTGTTGGGCCTTCGTAAGACATTTCGACTATAATAGGGCAGCATAGAGGGATCGACATGGGCCAGGACAACGTGGGGCATTTTATAGTGCTGGGGGATTTCACAACTGGTTTAAAATGTTTGTATGAGGTCAGACAGCTCAGTCTTCTTGTGAAGATGAACCATTTCTTCCCCTAAAGCTCTAGAGAGAGGCGCAACAAGTCTGATAGATTTTAGAGGGACGACAGTGACAGTAAATGATGGTACCAGCTTTTTATTTCAGACTTGCTTGACGGTATCTAAGGTGATATTTTCTGAGGAATGTGAATGATTTCTTCTTTCAGGTCCACACCTATAAAGGTCAACTGTTTGTTAAAGATTAAATGAGTGAGTCCACCAAGTCGGGGTCCAAGACACTGTCATTAAACCAGTGATGGCGATAGATTACAGCTCTGCTACTTGGAACTACTTTGAAGAGACTCATCCATGTACTCGTGCATTGGTTGTTCTGTTCAAGACCATAGAAAGATATATTTGAAGTCTACTAAAAGGCACTCTAGTGTAATTTCTCCCTATAAGACTGTGCCCTTTTGAAACAACCAATTAGATACATTTCCCAAACCAGACCAATAATATAATTTCATACTATGAAATATTTTAATTTTTAAAGAAATTTAGAAAAAGTCATGGATTTAATGGCATCTTAAGCTTTATCTGGGTACGCCTTGAGTGTGAAAGTGAAAGTTTAATGTTTGAATAGTTTTTATGGTAATGACTTCATGTCATGTGTAATTAATTTTTAGAGATGCTGAAGGAGTGTTTTAGGAAACTGTTAAATATCTCTGCATGCTATAAATTGACTTGTACATACAGTATAGTCATGGGATTTACACATTTAAATACTATAGACCAGTGGTGTATAAAGTACCCAAAAGCCATACTTGAGTAAAAGTAAAGATACCTTACTGGAAAATGACTCCAGTAAAAGTCACCTATTAGAATACTACTTGAGTAAAAGTCTTAAAGTATCTATTTATTGTACTTAAGTATTGAAAGTAAAAGTACAAGTAAATGCTGTTAATAAAAAAGCAAAGGGTCAGAATTCTGAGAATTATGAAGTTTATTCGTTTAAGTGCTGTGGCCACCATGACCAAGGACATGGAGCTGTGTTGAAAATAATTGGGTTGGCTGTGATCCATCCAGGAGCAACAATGTTCAACATAATATATTGTACATAAGTATACTTTTGCATCTACTATGAACTTATCATCGTAATTCTCCGAAAAGCAATATGACACTATGAAGGAGTTGTAACAGTGCGTTTATAAGTATGCTCATTCCGACTAGAGGATGTAGAGGGCAAATGCATCATATTGTGTTCAGCAAAAAATATCCACTTGATGCATCAGGTCAGTGTTTTGAGAAAGGACACCTGCCTTGTAAACTCCTATGGGCCTGATTTGAACACAATAGGCAAAGGTTTTGCTCAAGCTGAATCTGCTACCATCATAACTCCATCTGATCATCCACAAAATGACTCGAATATCAAAACATGATCAATACTAAAGCAGCACCGAAAGTAACAACCCAGTCATTACTTGAAAAGACAATTCTAATACAATGTAGCTTCTTTACATTCTAATAGAATGTAAAGAAGCTACATTGTATCAGAATGTAGCTTCTGTACATTCTAATAGAATGTACAGAAGCTACATTGTATAGAATGATTCTATTGAAGTTATTCCTTTTTAAATGTTTTAGACGAGTCACTAATCACTTTAAAAGAGTGATTATAGCTGATTTAACTTACAGACATGAGATTGATCTTCTCATGTCACTCTCTTTATACAATGATATAAATTCATCCCCGTTTTATTGATATCTTACGAAAAGTTACTCCTCATTTTTCGTGCGTTTTTCCTGCAAAAGTCCAGCAGCATGAGTCTGTTTTCGCTTGTTACATGCATACTGTCTTTCCAAAATAAACTTCCATCTTCACAGGAAACAACTAAGGTTTAGGCGATGAAACTACTTAGTTAGGTTGAGGAAAAGATCGTGGTTTGCGTTAAAATATCTACGGAAGTGGCGTTGCTTAAGTACGGAAGTCACGTCACAAATAAATCAACATCGGCTTCTCGTTTCACGCACGGCACAAACTGCGGCCTCCTGGAGGAAACACCAGTGTTTGTTTGACCCATCCACCTCTCCTCATCCCACCCGTCCTGTGTGGAATTCTACTCGTGTTGTCGCTCGCTAGCTATAGCATATAGCATCCTGGGCATCACTGGGAATCTAAACACCGCGGCTTTGAGAGCACTTGTTTTGCGCATTAACGTGATTAACCAATGATTTAACTGATTCACCAAACCTGCTTGTTGCAGTCTCTGTTCCACCACAGTCCCCGACGCTGGTCTCATGATTCATTTTGTTTCTAAAGATGGATTTGATTTTGTAGCGAGTAACGAAGGTTTCAGGGGAAATGTATCGGAGTAAAAGTATCAGTTTTCTTTGCAAGATGTAGTGAAGTAAAAGTCAACAGAAATATAAATAGTGAAGTAAAGTACAGATATCCAAAAAAACGACTTAAGTACAGTAACGAAGTATTTCTACTTCGTTACTATACACCACTGCTATAGACATACCATATACTATAGACACTATACTATAATACAGTGATTCCTAACTTAAACATATACAAATAAAACTCTTGCCTGTAAATGTCTTTACTATTTTCATACTTGCTGTAGAGGAATAGCTGAATACCTTTAGTTGTGACAGACCAGTTCACCCCAGATGTATAGCACTACCTTATTAAAATGAAACATCCTATTTCTTGTTCTATTCTACTTTTCTCCTGTCTGCTTTATTAAGCCCCACTTGTACAGCGTATTTGCATATTTTACTTTTTTTTTTTTTTTTTTTTTAAAGATTTATACTTCTCTTCTGGCTCCCAAAGGGAAGTGGTGGCTGAGATTCATCACTACTCAATCTGGTTCTAATATAGTCTTAAATGCTGTTACAATAAAACCACATTTTGTGCACGGCAAGCTGAAGATCACCAGTAATTTCCGCTGCTCTCACTGATGGCTTTTCTATGGCTCATTACAAGGAGGGCGGGATGGCGACTGAGCAAGATGAATTCCCCCTGTTGGGCAATTGTCTAACTATCACAGCGGAACGTTCATTCAGCTGCTATGCTTTGTTTTACCCTAGCTGACAGCTCGCCTGGACTTGTTGGATGAGCGTCCCTGCTTTGCAGCGCCGGACGACACACAAGCGTTCTCCCCGGAGAAGTCGGCCTCTTTCACTCCGCCGAGCTTGAGAGGTCATACCCCGACTTTTAATGCCATATTGAGCAGTTCTGATCAGTTCCTGGCACAGCACTCGACCCAAGAAGAACCAGCGGAGAGCTCAAACTCATACAGCCCGTTTGCTGAAATAGGGACAAGATCGCCTGTCCCAGATGAACCTGTGGAGTCTCTTCACTATCAGCAGGAGCCAACCATGTCTTTTGAAGATTTCGGAGATATAAAGCTCTTGATGAAGGTAAAATATTCGTCTAATAACAAACTATAGATCTGGAGGAGTTCATGTATAATAAGCGTGTAGGAAATAATAAGATGATCAATGAGTATCCTGTTAGATATGAATGAGTATAATTGATCGGCATGCTGTGAACTTCACAAGATATGTCGAGGTGCATTCCAAACGCGACTTAATAATCATCCTTGATCTTCTTTGAAATATCATTTCTGAAGGAAACATCTAACCTCTCTCTCCCAGTCAGATGTGAGGCTCCTTTCAAACATTAGATACGCAAAGTTCTAAGCTTGTTTGTTTGCAGCTCATTCCCACAGCCAATCAGCTGCCACTTACCTTTTCCTCTAGAGACCCCTCCGCTTTGTTTGGAATCCGGCCTAACATTTTAATTTACTTTCATGAATAACCGTGTTGAATTATCACCCTCAAGGGCGAGGAGACCGGTGTGAAAGAATCAGCAGAAGGTGATAAGGAAGCACTGACCTCGGGGAGCAATTTTGAAAGGACGATCACAGTTGTCAAGGGCAACTCCAGCCTAGGTTTGTTAATTTCTTCACATTCTTTTGATTTATTCTTTTATTTATTTCCCCCCCCTCATCCTTCACAGAAGTGTAAATGAGGTTGCTGGTCTTGAAAGGTGCATTTGGCCTTTACTTTTGCGTCATATTTTTCTAAATGCCAGATTTGAAGCAAAATGACAAACGATTTATTTATTTATTTTTTTTCAGCCTGAAAGGGTAATTTCATTGCTATAGTGTAATTTCATTGCTATAGTGTATTTCCATTTCAAAAACCTACCCATGGGGCTGCTACCGGCTCAGAGAATACTAAGTTTTAGCTTCGACATGAAGGTGTTATGAAGACACCGTTTATAATTCTCAGTGCCTCGTTGAAAGCTGTGCCTCATTTTGCTTTTTTAGTATTAAGGTTTCTACTTCATGCTGAATTCAAAATGTCGACGTAATACTTCTGGGTTTTGTATTTCTAATCTTTTTACTGTGTGGAACCAAATTCCACTCCTAAATAGAACACATGATGTTATTTCTTATGATATTTGCAAAGGAATCCCTTTACACCGTGCAAGGGAGTTTGAAGGTTTGAGATAGACTCAGACTAGTGCCACTCTCTGAAGTCACTCCACTGAGAATAAATTGAAACCCATATTTGTGAATAATATGACCGTTTCTAGGATAATTTTCTGAGATAAGAGGAAGCTTTCATGTTTCCGAATTGATAACAATATTGTGAATCAGATTAATTTTAAGTACGGGGACCTTCTTGTCTATAATAACAGTTAGTCCTGACATGTCTATTGGTGGCATTGTGGTTTTAAGAGCTCATTTATCAGTGATTGTCCTTCAATGTTAAATCTTTAAACTGTTTATCATAATCCAAATGTATTGGTGTGTAACAGTTTCTTATAACATGCCTCAAAGGGATGACCGTGAGCGCCATGAAAGACGGTTTGGGAATGCTGATCCGCAGTATAATCCACGGTGGGTCCATTAGCCGTGACGGACGCCTGGGTGTCGGTGATCTCATCCTGGCCATCAACGGAGAGCCCACAGCCAGCATGACCAACGCTCAGGCTCGCGCCATGCTTAGACGACACTCTCTCATTGGACCAGACCTGGGGTAAGAGCCTATGATTAGAAAGCAGTGGCCACACATGTTTACACATACTGTATTATTGAAAGGAAGTAGATGATTGTAGATAAAAATGTGATTTAAAGACCATTACTTTTTTAGTTTGATTGTCACTGACATCTAAATTCTGCTGGTCTGATTTCATCATTGTTTTCTGATTCACAGTACACTGCAAAATGCATTCCTCTTCACAATGCAGTTGTTTAACACCCTTGCTACAGGGATACAATATTGTTGTACCAGTTTGTATTAGCAATTAGAAATCTGAGAAAGAAAAAAAATCGTACTTAGCAGTCTGTGCCAACTTTTAGTGCCTGAGTTTTCAATTTTCTGCACTGCAAACATAATTTAGTTGGTTGTGAACAAGCAAGGTCTTGTGAAATTGGTCTTTGCTTTTGAAAAATGAATGCTGGTGAGATATTTAGTGTTGGTATAACTCTAGAAACTGGTAGAGCTGCCCAGTATTTTTCCCCTTTAATTGCTAAGCCTTAAAAACAATACATGTTGATGTAATTAAAGCATATGATATTGTAGTTGAATATGCACGCAGCAAAAGTCAGATTTTGCATTAAAAGAGTTGCTGTTTCCACAAGAAAATTGAGATGTGTTGTTTCACAAGTTCTGCGTGCTGACCTGAACTTGACGGTTTGTTAGCCCCGGTGCATAAAAGCCAACTCTTCACATTCTAGATCTGCTTGTGCACCTGAGGACGATCTGTGCCCATTTTATGTGTGAGTATGACTAACTTCCACACTTGGTGGTGTTTATTTTCGGCACGAAGCTGCCATCTCCGGTTTCCTTCCTCTCATTGTCTCCATCTGCCGACAGGCTTCATTGCAGTCTGTTAAAGAGCTTTATCCAGACGGAGAATTAGACAGTCAGCTCCATTTAGAGTGTCAAAACAATGAGAACAGCAAAGTGTAATTGATGAAGATGTGGTTCTGAATGTCATTCCGATTGGCTGATTCACATTTTGATTATGTTGACCACTGCACTGTCTATTAACCAACATTTATTAAAAAATCTGACTTAAAATCACACACAAACACATTTAGTCAAAATATCTGGATAAATCTTGATCGACTGCACCACTTACCGGCTCAACTTGCTGCATAACATAGCATAATCATTTTTGATTTCTGTGACTAACATGTTCAGTCATCACCTGGATGTTTTCTCTCTTACCACGCAACACTCACTCTTTAACTCAGTTTTTCTATTAACCGTTGGTATTTAAGCTCCGCCATGTCTCTCGCTGCATGCTGTGACGTTGTCTCTAAAGTGACTCATCACATTTCATTATTTCACTGGGATTGGTTTTCCTCTCTGTCTGCATGCTGTCATGTTAAAAAGATCTGTCAGCTTCACTTTAAATGTGTTTAAACGTGCCCTTCAGAATCAACTTCACTCTGAATAGTTTGGAAATGGGACTTTAAATGGGTGTCAGAATTTGTCAGCTCTCTTTTGGTTCATTTCTTAACACAAATTAGTAATCTGCCCATGAATCTATGATGGATATGCCTTTCCGATTTGACACATGTTCATTACACAGAAGGTGATAGACTTGATTTGCTCAGACATTTATGAAGGTAAACATCTGTTTTGAAGTAAGTTTCTGAATGTAAATAAGCAGATTTAAAATAAGCTCTTTTGTTCAGTGAAAGAGGGGGTAGTTTGAGTGCTTTAATACCTGTTTACACTTGAATGCCAGTTCTTCTCTTTTTTTAGGTCAAATTACCATGATGGTTTAGTGAGCAGAGGCATAATTGCCACTAAGGAAGGTGATGGAAAGTCGGTTGCTTTAAGAAATATTCGACTCATTTGTGCGTGTGTGTGTGTGTGTGTGTGTGTGTGTGTGTTCAGCATTACATATGTTCCAGCAGAGTATCTGGAGGAGTACAAGGCCAGCCGAGAGCCGGCTAAAGAGGATCTCTTCTGTGAAACGGCTCCATTCCCAGGAGCAGATCCAAAGTATGTCATGCACAAACAACGTGCATACGAACATTTGACGCACAAATCCAGGATCATCAATATTTTCCGACCTGAATTTGTTTGTACTCTGTTTGTATCCGTGAGGTCTTACAAACAAGTGTTTCCTTTTTTTCCAAAAACAATGCAAAGCCAGTTTTTTGATGGTGCGAAATTTTCATGCATGTTTGCTAAGCTAAGCTACCACCAGCTCATCAGTGGTTTAGCATGAAATAAAACAGTGACCCACTTGTAAAAAACATTGCTACATAGCTCGAGGGACAAAAACACTAGTAGTGCTTTCTTTAGAATTTTACCAAACTTTTTCCTTCCATTTTTGTCGATCTAGAGATATTCCGAGCCTCCCTGAACGGGAAGATGGCGAGGGAGAGGAGAGTGCCACTTCTAGCAACTGGAACCAACCTAGGAAGTGAGTACCCACACTATTTACGCATCTAATCTAATTTTGTGAATATGTCGAAGACAGACATGGTTTGCAGAACTTTATATGAAAGAATGATTGCTCAAGTTTGAAGCGTTGACACAAAAATAAACAAAAAAATCGTATTTTCTGTCCAGCATACAAAAAAAGTTTACGGCACAGTTTTGAAGAGCAAAAATGTTTAAAAATTCTAGCCTGCGTACCTTCCTCAGAGTGGAGCTCTTCCGAGCGCCAGGCAAGTCCTTGGGTATCAGTATTGTCGGGGGCAGAGGGATGGGCAGCCGGCTGAGCAATGGAGAGGTGATGAGGGGCATTTTTATCAAGCACATCCTGGAGGACAGTCCTGCTGGACAGAACGGGACCCTGAAGACCGGAGACAGAATCATAGAGGTAAAGGAAAATGTCAGGTGAAAGTGAGAGTTAGATTGTAATCAATCAGAAAGCTTTCCTTTCGGACTAATAACTTATATGACATATTTGATTAATGTGCAGTCATTTGAGAGAACCACAAAACCTTGAGGAGGGTTTGAAATCCTGAAAAATCATATTGTTCCCTAAAATTTGTGTCAGGTGGATGGAGCAGATCTAAGAGATGCTAGTCACGAGGAGGCAGTGGAGGCCATACGCAGGGCAGGCAACCCTGTGTCCTTCTTGGTCCAGAGTATTATCCACAGGCCCAGGGTAAGTGTCTATAATAGCATCAAACCAATTGATAGTAAATAATTTAAAGGTCACAATTTCCTTTTCCATCTTCACGTAATCCGCAAAGCCCATTTAGGGCACTTTCAATAACCACAATGTAAAAAGACACAACCCCTGTAGTTCCCGTTTTGCGTTTGATTGTTAAATGCCATTTTGAAATCTTTTATGAGTGCAAAAACAAACCCTGTGTGACATATTAAATATATTAGCAAGTTTTGGTCTCTAATTGCGAAACTCATTGAAAGCATATCAACATCGTTTGTTGTTTGAAAGTGCCCTCGGGCTTTTAAAGCATGACCAAGTAGTTTCCCGCTGGTTCTCTAATTGGTTAGGCTCCAGTGTCGGATCTCTCATAGTCAATCACTTGCATTGTGATCTATGAGATATTCCCACTTGCTTTCCTTAACATTCTGGTCACTCATTAAAGCCTTGTAGCAACTCATAATGTAATGTAGCACATGGAGAGGAAAGACATGAAGAGGGGGAAGAAGTCATGTTAAAAAGGAGAATCATACTCAACGGTGGGGACTCTAAAAATATCTTGAAGCTTATATTATCAATATTTTTTCTAATAACGGGCAGCTGTACGCTAAATGTCCAGCAGCAGACAAAGTTAGCAACGAGCTGGTAACAACAGTAGAGTATTCAACTATTAACTAAGCAGCCAGATATTTCCCTCAAGGGCTAAAAGGAGAGCGAATATTGGACATTGCAAATTATTTAGTCGGAATTTTAGCAATAATTATATAAGGCTCACACATTTACATGATAACACAGCAGGTTTTGTTACCTTTGGACAGGGCAAAGCTAGCGTTGGCTGTATTTCCAGTCTTTATGATAAGTTAAGCTAGCCGTCTGCAGCTTCTTACTTAGGATACATGAGAATGGAATCTAATCTAATATGCAGCAAGAAAACAAATGAGTGAATCTCCTTATGTTCACTGTTCATACTTCATTTTTTAAGGACAGTGACTACATTATGAGTTGCCTCAAACCTGCATCTATATGTTCCTCCGCACTGCTTTCTCAGCCCGGGTCAATATATAACCGAGCCCCATCGCCTGCCGTAGAGAAACGCACCACCTCTTTCACATGCATGCCACATCGCACATGTCAGGTAATCTGTCTCCATCTTTTTGCCTCTCATTTTCTGTTGCATCAGCTCTCTATCCATCACAGTTAATCTTTTGTTGCATTATCTCTCCTGCCTCCGCTTTCGTTCCGTCCCTCAAACTGTTCGCTGAGTCTTTCTTTTTAGCTGCATCTTTGACTTTGATACACACATAATATGTGTATTGACAGAAATGAAGACAAAGTAGAATTGGAGGTTCCTTCTGGGAGGAAAGAAAAAGAACCGCGGGAGACGCAGACATCCTATTTAGTTTTCTATCACAGAGTTACTAAACTACAACAATGACACGGCCCACAGTTTAGTTTTTCATCAAAAGGCGGAGCAAATGTTTAAATCTATTTTGTCACGGCAATAACACTTTTTTTTTTTTTTTTTATAGAAAACCTCTGTGCTGACAGTGTGTAATGTTGACATTCAATACACTTTCAGACTAGATTCTTAATGCAACCTCACCATGGGGGTTATTGAACTTGCATCTCCATATTTTATAAAGGAACTCATCAAGTAAACAATAGAAAAAGCAAATAAGGAAATCATTTGTACCTCGAGACTGCTTCAACCCAACAAATATAGGAAGAAGACATCTTTTCAATTGACTATAAAGTCGCCGATATTGAGTTGCAGCTCCACTAAAATGCACAACGATGGCCTGGACAGTTAAAAAAATATATTATTTTGATTGGACGATACCTCTAAGTGCTGTAGGCAGGTCAGTAATGCTGCTTTTAAATGCAGCCACTGGGGTCCACCAAGAGAGTATAATGGCACATCCATGCTGTCTCCCTCTAAGTTTCAAATCCTTCTCTTGTAAGCAGTGAATAATCTCAACGTAGCCTGGAGGAATCTTTGAAACATTTTGTTAAAGTATTTCAGAGAAAGCGGCTTTGCTCTGATTTTTTTTTTTTTTTTTGATGTGGAGGAATGGCTGTCCTCAAGGAAGCCGCTTGCTTTAATGGTTACTCATTTAAATAAAACCCGAGGTGCCTCTGTCCTCTAAACACTCCGCCCTCTCTTTTTTTTTCTTTCCTCCTGAGAGGCCTCGATTCAATTTTGTCACAAAGGCTCAGCCGTCATATTAAATATTCGTCATGTCAGCTTGTTGGTCCTGTGTGTTGCTCTTAGAGGTCGCCGCTGCCCTTTCTGCAGCTAAATAGCCACCGCGGGTCAAGCCTTTGCTGCACTAATCAAACCTGCTTAGCGCCTGCCCTCCCTCAGGTTAGAAAGCTGCCCCATGTCTACGTCTGCCTGCTTGTGTATGAGTGTCTTTCACTTCAACTGTACTGCTTTGACTTGTTAAAATGGTGTTGACAATGAGCTGCTTGACATGAGAGAAGAAGCGTTTGTGGAGTCTAGGGTTAAAACATTAAAAGGAATTCAGTTTCAGTCTGCATGCAGGTTTACCACCTCGGGGCATTTCATTCATTGTCATGACAGCCATGAGTTGGAACACATTTTAATTGTTCCAAATGCCAAACCTTTTATTTTCCTTTATGGTAAACCATATGGAAGCCCTGAGAGGCAAGTGGGGAAACTATTTCTGGGGATCTGTTTTTAAGTCTGCTCTAAATAGCTTTCTCTCTTGTGTGTGGCTTAAGAGCAGGTGAAGAAAAGGCCACCTTTTCTTCACGTGTGAAACAGGTGAACGTTTTTTGAAAGTGTTTTTATTTCTCCATGCACTCTAAACACAAGAAAACATGAATGCTGTTAGTCCTATTTACATGGGATAGTGGTGCACTTCAGCTTCTACAGCCCAAATAAAATTGCAAAACTTTTTTTTTTTCATAACTGAAACCAAAAATATAGAAACATTGGGAACTTAAAGACTATCCTCGCAAAACCTTTTTTTCTCCTATTCTTGTCATAAACACACGGGAGAAAACTATTTAGAAGGGACTTAGAAAATGGATCACTCGTTTTTTCTCACTTGCATTTATGTATAAACCTGTGCTGCCAGACATAATAATTACTATCCTAAACTTTGTGTGTGTGTGTATTCCTATTTTGAATCGATACCTTTCCCTCATCTGTTAGCATATGTTGCCTTATGTCTACGTCTCCTTCTGGTGCTTTGCTGCGTCCTCCTTTTGCATCAAACACAAAGTGAAATCCTAGTCCAAACTTTTACGATTAGTGAATCTTATTTTTCTCCTGTACCCAGCTTTTCAAGGTCCAATTTTTTTTTTTCCGTCAATTATCCCTCAAACATTCTCCCGAGTGTCTCACTGCCGATGTAAAGAAGACAACTTGATAAGGCAGTGTAATGTGAAGAACTGTAAACTGCAATATCGTGTTTTTTTTTTTTTTTTTGTTTGTTTTTTAAATGCCAGACTTTTTTGGCAAAGTCCTTTAAACTCAATCATTGCAGAGAAATGTTCAAGCTTGGATAGTCATGTGGAGTTGGATAAGCTCTTTCACTGAACGCATCAATATGTTGGCCAGGTTGTGTGTGTTTGTGCGAGCGATTATGGTTTTGCCAAGACTTTTTTTTTTTTTTTTTCGTTTTTTAAAAAATAAGTTCTTCATGTTTTTCTTTATTTAAAAGAAAGTGGCTTTTTCTTCAGTAGTATCATTTCTAAACAGATGGTTTTTTTCATGATACAGCATATGGTCCAGATTTTATTCACTCGGAACACTTCTGACTTTGTATGAACTCATTAATATTAATGAGATTTAAACACGATTCTGTATCCTCCGCTGTATGGTGTTATGAATGTGCTCTCCATAATACGTGACCCAAATGAATTTGCTTATCGTGAGTGATGTAGAGTGGAGGGATTTACCTTCGTGTCTGTCTTATACGCCCGCAGTCATCGGTAACAGACTCCAGTGAGGAGAGAGCTGCAGCTAAGACGAGGGACAAGGACAAGGTTGGTGTTTTCAATTACCCTCCACTGACAACTTGAATCAGTGTTTTGTATTTGTCGTTGTTCCACTTGTCAACTTTGGGAAAAGTGTTGCTCACCACACTCGGGTTTGATCACATCAACAGCACTTGGCGTTCAACTTTTCACCAAGAACTCAATATGTCTGTCAATAGATGTAGGTATCTGTCAGAAATGTGCTGTCTTCTAAAGTTGTTGCCCTTTGTCTCTTCTCCGTAGGAGGGTTACAGTCACAGTAGACTTTTCCTCCGCCTCTCCCCAACTAACCCTTTCACTCCTACCCCGTTTAAGGTTTGTGGGTCTCTGTGTTGTGCTTTCCACTTTCCCTTTCTGTGTATGCTCGTGCAGATATGTCAATTTGGCGTGACACAGTTCATGCGCTGAATATATTCTGCCATGCTGTACCCGCATACACTCCTACATGTCCTAACATCTCTCGCCGTCTGATGTCCTTTGTGCATTTTTTTTGTGAAATCAGAACATGTTCTGACCTTTTTGTCTTTTGCATTTTATTACTTCCTTTTAAAAGACAACAGAATTGATACCTCAATAAAATGACAAAAACAAATTAGAGATTTTTTTTTTTTAGTGATCAAGTCTGATTTGTTGTTCTTGTTTTTCAGGTAAGTGAACATATGATTGGTGAATATTTGATTTTTAGTACTAATTTGATGATAAGTAATTGCATCAGTAATAATGAAGTCATTAAATGTCGCATTTTTGACTCGGTAAGCACAATTATACTATAAATAAAGCTATTTTCCAATTAACGTAATTCTAATTTGAGCCTCTGGCATCTATTTGGGACCATATCTCATAATTAATTTTCAGCCTACAGCTAATATCCTGCTGAGAGCGATGAAGCTGTTTATGTAAACCAAGCAAATGACTTATGTTGATTCCATCACCGGTGCTCATGTGCCTTCCTATATTTCTGTAAACCTCGTATCAAGCTGATTCAAACTTAAAGAACAAAGACACAACCTTCTTCTCTTCTTCTTCTTTACCATTCACTAATAAACCGTTTTTCAACTCCCATCTGTGGCGCGACAGCCTGTGAAGCGTGACGCGGCTAAGGCATCTCCCAGCAGCCCTGTCCTCTTCCTGCCAGTGGTGCCCCATGTGGGAGAGACTGATACAGACACGCTGACAGAGATTCCTGGCAGACCTGCTGAGGAAGAGGAGGAGAATGAGGAAGAGGAGGAGGAGGAGGAGGTGGACGAGTTTGGATCCAACTGGAGTGAGTTCAGTTCCTGTTTTCTTGGGGTTAAATTATATATTCCGTTTGGAACAACAGTAAAAACATTTATTGTGTTACATTTTTATGCGTTTTATCTGTTATGCATGCGTTATCGCCTAGCTGCCACTAGAGGTCCTCCAAGGTACATTTTGTTTCTCGCCTGCTCATGAATTCATCCAGAGTCTGCAATAAAAACAGCACAGACTCGCTCGTTTGAGGTGGTTGTAACTCGGCAAAACCTGAAGGACTCATTAGCATCTTGCAGACACTTGAATGTCAACTGTAGGATGAAGTCTCCGCTTCAAGGAGAACGGGTCACACAGTCGGTCCCATTCAACTCAGGCAACCAGCATAAAGGACAGACTTCCAGCCTCTGAACACCTGGGACTGTGGCGAATGTGTGTGCGTGAAAGTGTGTTCCCATCCTGCGGGGATGAGATTGATGAGGTTGGGCCCGGGGAGGTGAGTTGTGGAGATTAGTACAGGACTGATGGTCCAACAGTGGCAGGGAGCCCGGAACAACAGGATCCCATTGGTCTGAACAGGGGCTATCTAACACACCAGAGACAGGGGAGAGAAAGAAGGGGGGACTGGAGTGAAAAATGGAGGGATAACAATGCAGACAAGATTGAGACAAAGAGATAGAACCTCAGCAGACTGACATTTAAAACTTTCACCATTCACATTTTGTGCCTTTGCACAAAACCCAATCTCCCCTAATCCAAACACATGCCCCTCTTTCTGAGCAACAAGACAGAAACTGATATGGAAGTTCAGGCTCGAAACAATTCTGGCACTATTCAGCAGCGTTGTCAGCTTACATCTGTCTTGCTACGACTTCACCCGCCTCTTTCAGAGAACATAATCCAGCGCTATGGCAGCCTCCCGGGTGTCCTACACATGATTGAGCTGGAGAAAGGCAAGACGGGCCTGGGCCTCAGCCTGGCGGGGAACAGGGACCGGTCTCGCATGAGCGTGTTCGTGGTGGGAATAGACCCCAACGGGGCGGCCGGCAGGGACGGACGTATGGCAGTGGGGGATGAGCTGCTGGAGGTAAGAAGTGTTGATTGTGGTTCTCAACTCAAGTGGGTGTGTAAACGAAGTTTGCTGGATATGTGACCCCTTTAAGATATATAATCTATAACATATATACATTTCTGATGTATGGCTTTTAGTAGTGCTTTGTATCACACATTTGCTCTTGGAGAACAAGTGTCTATAATTCTATGTTTTTGTATCCTGTCAGATCAATGGGCAAGTCCTTTATGGCCACAGTCACCAGAATGCGTCCTCCATAATCAAGAGCTCTCCATCCCAAGTCAAAATCATCTTTGTCAGGTATTTAAACCCATTTTCTTCCTATTAAAGCCTCTATGAATACACTTCCATGGCAACAGCAACTACATGTCATTGTCAGACAGCTGACCTGAAAATGTTCGTCTATTGTAATTTTATTCAAAATTCAATAGAGGGAGCTATTGTAACTCAACAGAAGGATGCAACTGAAGGTGAAGAGTTAGGAGAACAGTCTTCCTCATGCACATATCAAAAAAGAAGAAGCGGATATATTTGCTTAAACCGTGTTTTCCCCCAGTAATCCATTAAATGTTATTACAATACATATGTCAAGATATATATATGTGTGTGTGTGTGTGTGTGTGTGTGTGTGTGTGTGTGTGTGTGTGTGTGTGTGTGTGTGTGTGTGTGTGTGTGTATATATGTGTTTGAAAGGCTTAAATCAAGGTGACATTTATATATGAAAGCAATGATTTACTCCCTGCTTTCATAGCTTTTGGAACAACTAAACAATGTATTAAAAAAAAGAATATGTTCCTGTTAAAATAAAACAGTGAATGCTCATTTATTGTACACTAACTGCAAAAACAGTACATTATAAAGATTAGTATGGCTTACCCAGTTGAGTATGAAGTATTGCAGCTGACACAACAGCACAGTCAGCCACATTTGACCCTTCCCAAAATCAGTCTACTTAACCTTCTACTTAAGCTCACATCCCGTTCCTGACCCCTGGAAACAGACACTGTGATCAGCCCACGTAAATCACGGCTCCGCTGTCACAAAGCCGAGGAGCCGCGATTTACGAGAGTTTATGACTGTTTGGAACAGGAACGCGGAGGCGTTGAACCAGATGGCTGTGGGACCTGTGAGAGAACCCGAGGGAGACACAGTGGAGCCCCACACTGAGGTAACACTGCACTCATGGCCACACGCACTCACACACACAAAACACCGCAACGGACAAAGATTATGGAGATGTTAGGGAGTGGAGTTCCATCTGCATAACATGCAATGAAACTCTCTCACAAACCATTATAATTGCTTTTGATCTACCCTTTGTGTCATTTACTTTTTGCGCCAGAGTTGTTTTCATGTATGTTTGCTCCTAAAAGTCTCTTTGTGTGGTCCTGGAGTTCCCATTCTCCCAAGCCTGTGTGTAACTCCCGGGACAATCAAAAGCCACACACTCGGTACTGCACTCCCACCAGCCAGCAGACACAAACACAAATTCCACTGTATCAACTACTGCCTGTCTCCTCACAGCTAGAAGCGACTGCTGCTAATGGTGATGCCGATACTTCAAAATATGTGCATCACAGCATAAAGCTGAAGGTGAGATACACTGGACCCCCCGTGTACACATCACACACATAGGGCAACCATGGTCTTTTGAAAAACCAAAATAAAGACAATAATAGAGAGGAAGCAATGCTATAATGAGGGAGGATGTACACAAAAAAGGTCAATGGGGTATGACAGAAAGAGGGAGGGGGAGCATACAGGAGCAGTCAAGTCTGACAAGCTGCCAGCCAAGAGCAAAGATTGTAAAATAAAAGGGTGAGTAACCAAAACAACACATGAATGGGAGAAGAGCTGTTCCAATAGGACATAAAAGTTCAGTTCACCCAAAAAAATAGAAAGGGGAACATAATTTGACCCCTTGTGGTGTCTACTTACTACTCATGCGGATATTTTTACAGTTGTATTTGCCAAGCTATTTAGATTGAAAAATATCCCATTTTAAAAACTCGCAGCAACGAGTCTCTCTGGAAAATAATTCCCACAGAAAACTGCTTACAGTGAAGTCTGTGGATGATTTTGAGTTTTTATTTAATGTCAGTCTTCCATACTGTGAGCACAAGCACAAGTGTCACCGGGGATATCGCAAAAATCGTACCTATTGAACTGAAAACATCTGCCCGACTACATACAAGTGGTAATTTGGAAAACTTGTTTTGTTGTGATCCCAGTTAACCGGCCCTTTAAAAAGAAACCTAACTATAAAGCAAGGAATCTCTTTCTGTACTTCCCATTAAACAATTTTCAGTGTGGGACCCCCACAGCGAACGTTCCCCTGAGACTGTAGTACAGTCCTAGCTGGGGTCGGGTTATCAGCAACTCACAAAAACGCTGCAAGCACCAACAACCCAGGCCAAGCATTCGACCGGGTCAGAACAGGCATGTTTTTAAAGGGCACTGCACTAGTGAGTGAAAAGAAGACTTTGATGAGAGCCCCAGTTTGGGACTGTCCATATGGTATGTCAGGCGACAGGGAATGACTCAGCAGCATCTGGGCAGCTCATTGACGCGAACACACAAACACAAAAAGGCCCCGCTGGGAACATACGATTAGAAGTGTGAAGGATGTAAGGGGAAGCTGTGACTAATTCTCTTTCTGGAGATGATTGTCATCAGTCATGCTTGTTTTGGTTAGCTGGTGCAGCTCTATTATGCAACACACGCTACAGCCATGTGTAGTCAGTTTGCATGCTATGTTTATATGTACTGTACTAAATGCTGTATATTAAAGAATCCCTTTTTACGCACTTGTTTTTCCCCAATAGGAGGACGGCGGAATCGGCATCACATATGTGGAGGGGAAAAACGACAGTGAAGTTGAGATTCAGAGTATATCTGAAGTGAAGGGAGATGCAGGCAAAGTATGTAGTACATACTGCAGCTAATGGTGAGTCTGTACATTATACAGTTTATTTCTAATCAAAACTGTGATCTGCTTCATACAGGAGGGCTGCGTAAAACCAGGGGACAAACTCTTAGCTGTGAATGGTGAATCAGTGCCAGGCTACACTTTGGAAAAGGTAGTGTGGCTGGAGATAAACTGTAATCATCATGTTGTATTTCCTCTAAAGGCAAGCATTCTACAAATCTGTTGTGTCCGTAAGAATGACCTAAAACAGTCATGATGTAAAGATCAAGCCTGATTAGTAATTCCACTGTTTTCAGTCAATTATCTACTGAGAAAAGCCAAAGGTCCAGTGAAGCTAACCTTCTATACAAATGAGACCCTGTCTTCCTTCCCTTTCCTCCAGTCAACCTGCCAGGACGCGGATAGCTCGGATGAGGTCTTTGCCAGCCGACCCAGCATGCCTAGTGCCACCACGAGTACCCCGAGTCAACCGCCGACGGAAGCAGTCACTAGTGAGTCCGCATTAAGAAGTTTGACTTCTTACTCGAGAAGATAAATAATGGATCAATTGGCTTACTATATGCTTCCTCCATTGTAGGTCAGAGTCGCTCTTCCACCCCTTCCACTCTGGCCTGTGACCCGACGACCTGTCCCATCATCCCCGGCTGTGAGACCACCATTGACATCTCCAAGGGCCGCACGGGCCTGGGCCTTAGCATTGTGGGAGGCTGTGACACCCTGCTGGTAGGTGACAAAAAATATGAAAGATGCATATATATTTTTTACATTTGATTCAACAACAAAAATAAGGTGAATATATACGTATTTGCACTTTTTACAATCCTTTTGAAATATACTGTGAATTTGTAAAAACTAAAAAGTTACGTGACTGTACTTTTGAGTTACCACCCACCATGCCACCCACTTAGACTCTTTGGTGGCGGTATAACCCAGGTTCAAAATAGCCACGGCGGCTCAGGAATGTAGGAAATTATGTTGTCACAGCCTTCCTCCTCGTCCTCCTGCATCCTCTCCTCAACCCATCTATTCTGTCTGCTCAGTCAGGCTTGGGGGGGGGGGGGGGGAGCAGCTCTTTGTCTGGCCTCGGCCACAGCAGACAATATCCAGCCCTGGAATGTAACCTCTGAACCCCAAATGACACACACTGGAACGCAGAGAAAACACACTCGGAGTCAGGAACATACACATTCAGAATGAGAATTCAAAATGACTGTCTGTTGTCAAATTATACCTTTCTCTCTACCCACATGGTCTTTATATAATTACTTTCCCCATTATTTGCTGTCTTGTGTGCCTCGCATTTCCCCCAAATAGATCATTACTGCTCTCACTTTACCTCCAACTGTTTCTGTTCACCGTCTTCTCCTATTCTGTACTCATTTACTCTCTTTTTTTTTTCCCTCTCACTCCAGGGGGCCATCATTATCCATGAAGTTTATGAAGAGGGAGCAGCCTCAAAAGATGGCAGGCTCTGGGCAGGAGACCAGATCCTGGAGGTGCTGTGCCGTATAATGAGCATCACACATGACCTAGATTTAAAGAGCCTTGAACACATTTCAATAACTTGAGATGCGGCGGCCTGAGGATCTGTAACATGAAAGCTAGGGTTCCCAAGTACAGTCAAGGATCAAATAGTGCGATACATTTGTTGATATACATCTCAAATGTATATGAAAGCTGCAACAAAAAGGATCAAACCAAACTATTTATTGTTTGTGACAAGTACTGAAGAATAAATTGATTCCGAGTAAAAACTCCGGGGAAAGTACCAGCTCGTATGAGTGTATGTATTACATGGAGAGACGAGTTAAGTGTCCCAGCTCAATTTGGATTTGCCCTCCATTTCACCTCATGCTTTGTCACAGAGGGAGGGCAGGGGTGGAGCTCAGGAGTTTTGTTATGGTAGCTCGATGAGTAGACCTTTATTGAAAAGCACACATGCATGCACTCGCACACACATAGACACACACTTGATTGATTTAATTGCCCTCTGATATTCATCTCTGTCCTCGAGCCAAGCTGTTGCGTTTAGAAAACAGGGTCAGAGAGGAAAAGTGAAAAGAGTGGTTTCCCAGTCCTCAGCAATGCCATTTGCTGCTATGGGAAGAAAAAAATCGTTTGCATGGCGAAAGCTAATGGGGTATTTCCCCCCCTTTAATGTGGTAAAATAAGATGGACATAAATCCTTAAACTGAACACTCAAGATTTTCCCAGACTTCTGTGGGAAGGCTGCTTCCCTTAAGTTAAATCCAAGTGTTGTAACGCTGTCATATTATGATCCAGTGTTCAGATAGCTCAGCAGTTTGGGTTGCTGAAGAAGAAATGTAACCACAGCAGTTTCAGGAAAATTCTGTTTTAGCATTCAATTAGGCTGTTAGTACTTTTTTATAGCCCTCTGCTGCATTCTCATTATATCAGGAATGGAAGAAAAGAGCGTTGCTACTGTTTTTTGCGCGTTTCTGTAAATATGAGCAATAGTTTCTGGTTGCACTTATAAAAAGAGGCCAATGGTTGCTACAATACTGACCTCCTTTTCTCTTGTCACAGGTGAACGGCATCGACCTGCGTGACGCCACTCACGACGAAGCCATCAACGTGCTGCGGCAGACCCCGCAGAGAGTCCGGCTGGCGGTCTACAGGGACGAGGCCCAGTACAAGGAGGAAGACCTGTGGGACTCGTTCACTGTGGAGCTCCACAAGAAGCCCGGCCAGGGCTTGGGCCTGAGCATTGTGGGAAGGAGGTGAGAGAGATGTATTATTAGATCTAGTAGCAAACTACTGACAGTACTAGAATGCTGGTCATTTTGATATTATATTGCATTTGGCTCGTCTCTTGAATCAAAGTCGGTACAGCCAGACAACTATAAATAGTATATATGTATAAAATGGTATTGGTGATATAATGAACATACTAGTAATCTGAGAGGGAACGTAGTTTGACATTAACTGTACAAACCTATTTTAATGCAGATCACTGGATCAGAGGTAATTGCTGTCACTATTTAGAAAGTGTGTAGTGTAGAGACAGATCTTGTACACACACAAACACAGCAGGATTTGTTAGATCTACCAATACGTGATAAACCATGATGTTTTAAAATCCTATTTCATGGTTGCCTGGCTGGATTGCTGATATGTTAAATAAACATCACAGAAATGTGTCAGCAGAAATACAGTGCGTCCAGAAAGTATTAACAGCGCTTCACTTTTTCAACATTTTGTTATGTTACAGCCTTATTCCAAAATGGATTAAATTCATTATTTTCCTCAACATTCTACACACAACAACCCATAATGACAAAGTGAAAACTGTTTTTTGCAAATCTATTAAAAATAAAGAATGAAAACATAACATGTACATAAGTATTCACAGCCTTTGCTCAATACTTTCTTGAAGCACCTGTGGCAGCAATTACAGCCTCAAGTCTTCTTGGGTATGATTTCACAAGCTTGGCACACCTATTTCTGGGCAGTTTCTCCCATTCTTCTTTGCAGAACCTCTCAAGTTCCATCAGGTTGGATGGGGAGTGTCGGTGCACAGCCATTTTCAGATCTCTCCAGAGATGTTCAATCGGGTTCAAGTCAGGGCTCTGGCTGGGCCACTCAAGGACATTCACAGTTGTCCCGAAGCCACTCCTTTGTTATCTAGGCTGTGTGCTTCGGGTCGTTGTCCTTTTGGAAGATGAACCGTCGCCCCAGTCTGAGGTCCAGAGCGCTCTGGAGCATGTTTTCATCGAGGATGTCTCTGTACATTGCTGCATTCATCTTTCCCTCAATCCTGACTAGTCTCCCAGTTCCTCCCGCTGAAAAACATCCCCACAGCATGATGCTGCCACCACCATGCTTCACTGTAGGGATGGTATTGGCCAGGTGATGAGCAGTGCCTGGTTTCCTCCAGACATGACGCTTGGCATTCAGGCCAAAGAGTTCAATCTTTGTTTCATCAGACCAGAGAATTTTGTTTCTCATGGTCTGAGAGTCCTTCAGGTGCCTTTTTGCAAACTCCAGGCGGGCTGTCATGTGCTTTTTACTGAGGAGTGGCTTCCGTCTGGCCACGCTACCAAACAGGCCTGATTTGTGGAGTGCTGCAGAGATGGTTGTCCTTCTGGAAGGTTCTCCTCTCTTCATAGAACAACACTGGAGCTCTGTCAGGGTGACCATCGGGTTCCTGGTCACCTCCCTGACTAAGGCCCTTCTCCCCCAATCGCTCAGTCTGGCTGGGCGGCCAACTCTAGGAAGAGTCCTGGTGGTTCCAAACTTCTTCCATTTCCAGATGATGGAGGCCACTGTGCTCATTGGGACTCTCAATGCTGCAGAAATTTTTCTGTACCCTTCGCCAGATCTGTGCCTCGATACAATTCTGTCTCGGAGGTCTACAGATAATTCCTTGGACTTCATGGCTTGGTTTATGCTCTGATATGCACTGTCAACTGTGGTACCTTATATAGACAGGTGTGTGTCTTTCTAAATCATGTCCAATCAACTGAATTTAGCACAAGTGGACTCCAATCAAGTTGTAGAAACATCTCAAGGATGATCAGTGGAAACAGGATGCACCTGAGCTAAATTGAGTGTCATGGCAAAGGCTGTGAATACTTATGTACATGTTATGTTTTTGTTCTTTATTTTTAATAGATTTGCAAAAAACAGTTTTCACTTTGTCATTATGGGTTGTTGTGTATAGAATGTTGAGGAAAATAATGAATTTTATCTATTTTGGAATAAGGCTGTAACATAACAAAATGTGGAAAAAGTGAAGCGCTGTGAATACTTTCCGGATGCACTGTAGGTGTGTGTTTCTCTGCATCGCTTCAAACTTTAAATGCCTCTTATGATCCCTCTAATGAGGACAGGCAAAGCTTCTCATTAGCCCTGGGATCAGTTTCAGTGGCTCTAGTGGGGATCATGACTCCAGCGTTGCCAGTTTTCCTAGGACTGGCAAATTGGAAACCGTCTTACACACAAACTCCACTGAGGCTTCTATTCTCGCAGTAGTATTCACGGGTTAAAGCACATGAGGGAAGAGGCCTGCTGGTCCACATGCTGACAGTTCTTTACTGACAGGTGTGTGGAGTGTGGTGATAGATCTCACCTCTGGGGAAAACCCTTAGGAATGGCTTACACAGACCGCATATGCACTGGTGGTTACGTGTGTGTACAACTGGTTTTATTCTGGATTTGTCAAAGTGCAGGGTAAAAAGGGGTCATGGGTTGAACAGCTCAGACAGCAGTAGTTGTAAATCTTTGCCTATGATGGTTTTGCTACACAAGGGGAAAAACAACTAAAATGCTCAACAGGATGGAAAAGGCAACAACGTGACAGACAACCGAAAAACCCTCAGCTAAAATGGAAAAGTGCAAGCTAGCAGTTAGTGGTGAGGACTTGTGACAGCCAACAGTCTCTGGCACTCTGGATTGTACGATCAGTTCGCCTTGCTTCTCGGCTTTTGTTCGTTTTATCCACGTGGAGATTTGCACTTTAGATATGCAAAGTCAACAGTAGCGATGTGCTTCTGGGGGGGGAAAAGACACAAGCTATTTTATCTTCCCTGCAGTTAACTTGGTGTCCCAGAGGTCAGTGCTCAGAGCAAGCAAATATGTTGTGACTAAGTTTGTCTTTGGTTTTAGACAAACAAGAACACACTGTATTTTCCTGAGACACAACCAACTGGTTTGTCAAAGGTTTTGAAGCTTAGATTCGGGTAACCCATCACTGCGAAGGATTCTTAGAACTGTCACCAATACACGTATAAGAGGAAATTAAGTTTTGTCATTAAATAATACGTGATAGCTTCTCACTTTCTGTGCCCGACTGCAATGTGTCCACAGTAAGCATTATGCAGGATTCAAGATGGAAAACAAATTTATCTAGGTCACAGTTGGGGGGTGAACACACTCTTTGCTATTAAATATTCCATCTCACCAGCAGTCTGCTTCTTCCCAAGGAGCATAAGCCACATTTGTGCAAAGGTCCATAGGAAAAAATGTGCTGGATCAATAGTGTATTATCCATTACATGCTCAAAGAGTCAGCAGTGCGATACAGTTACGGTCAACTAGAAGAGAAAAATACACAACGACTCTTACAGCACATGTTATCTCACCGTCATGTCTGCCTTTCAACCTTTCCTCCCAGGAATGACACAGGAGTGTTTGTGTCCGATATTGTGAAAGGAGGATTGGTGGACACTGACGGCCGCCTGATGCAGGGCGACCAGATCATATCAGTCAATGGTGAGGATGTCAGGTCGACTACTCAGGAGGCCGTAGCTGCACTACTCAAGGTACACCCGTCGCACTGGCCCTCAGAGGGAAGCATACTTGGTGAATGACAACCCCTGCTTTAACACTGTTTGATGACTGTCGTCAAAATACTGTGCCTTGTGTTATAGTGCTGTGTGGGGCCTATAAACCTGGATGTAGGGAGGTTCAAGGCAGGCCCCTTCCACTCAGAAAGAAGGCTGTCTCAAAGCAGTCAGGTACTGTATTTGCACTGCTTTCAAGGATAATATTTGATTGTTGAACAGAAATTGCTCTGACAAAACAAAAGAAGCAACAGCGCTGAATATCTGTGTTTCAGATGAGTGAAACGGGCAGCACCAAGATGGCCTCTCTGTCATGTTCCGACTCTGGGAACCTTCCCGGTGACCATGACAAACTGAGTCGGAGTCCGGATTGTAAGTCTCCTCAAAAGGTCCTATTAATTATGAAAATTGTGGACAAGGCCTCCTAACATTTTTGCCTGTTTGCTTTTCTCACAGCTCCAGAGCACCAGGACACCAGGACAGTTGAGTTCATTAAAGGTCCCAGTGATTCTCTGGGTATCAGCATAGCGGGGGGCGTGGGCAGCCCCCTGGGTGATATCCCCATCTTTATCGCCATGATGAACCCAGTCGGCCTGGCTGCTCAGACACAGAAGCTCAAGGTACGACATTTGCGTCACTCTCTCTCGGTAACCTTTATTCGGCTTCCAGCGGAATACAAAACGAAATAATTTGCATGCCAGTCATTGTCGTGTGGGATTTAATGTGAATCTTAATTACGTACAGCGATCTCATTCCCACTCACTTTACTGTGTGACTCCTAAAGGTCAAGAGCTACACCCCTTTGAAGTGAACTTCGCAGTTAAATGACAGAGAAACTGACAATTGTAGCTCTGTGTGACACAGACCGGAGGAGGACAATAGCCATCGCTAACGCGGATAATAAATCTCCCACTCCTGCATTCAGATCATGAAGCCTACAGAAGGGCTCACTGAAATAAATGGGGGGGGATATTGAATAGTATATTCACGCTGCTTTATCCTCTCGGCCAGAATGAGAGACGAGAACGCTACATAATGAAATTACTCAGCCGAACACAAGCGTAGTTTTGCTTTTGTGTGGCTTGGTGAATTCAATTTTCAAATAGTATTAGCCACATCCTGTTATTGTGCAGAGTCGTCCAGACTTTTGTGAAGTCACAGCACTCATTTACACTTTTTAAAATGGCACTTCTGTGGTGATACATATGTATTCTGGATTTAGGGAATAAGGGAAACATTTGAGTTTCCTTTTATTATAGAAAAAAGGTCACAGAGCCAACTTTTGTTAGATTTTCATTGTTATCATTGTTTCCAACCCCAAACACTGATGTTCCTGCTTCACTGTTCAATGTGCCAAGTTGTTTTTCCCCCATGTGTCCTTTTAAATTTGACTAAACTCTCACTTTTCCAGATTGGGGACCGCATTGTCAGTATCTGTGGAACCTCTGCTGAAGGCATGACCCACTCACAGGCTGTCACTCTGCTCAAGAACGCCACAGGCACAATACAGCTGCAGGTCTCAAAGCGCGCACACACACACACACACACACACACACATACACCTCTCTGTTGTAATGAGATTAACCTGCAGACAGTTAGATAACCTGTAGGTGAGCATATACTTAATTCCTCACTATATGTGTTCAAGTTTTCACCTGAAAAGAACAGTCGAAGGCTACCAGCGGAGGACTTTGAAGTACCATAAAGCTTTTCTCCCTCATCCAGCACTACCACCATGCTATCAGTCTTTGTGTCGCAAGTCTACCAGTCCATAAAAGTGTGTGCGTTTGTTTGCACCTGTAGGTGGTAGCGGGCGGTGACACTACTGTGACGGGTCCCTCTCAGGAGCAGGCAGCTGGAGGTCTCACGCCCAGCTGCATCTTCCAGGATGACCCCGGGTATGAACTGTTTATTACACAGAACATTTTACTGTGTTGTAACATCTGTCTTACCACTATGTCAGTCAGTCTAAGTAGCATTCAAATTATTGCCGCTTCTTTCCCTTTCTTTTTGCTTAAGGGAATGTAGTCAGTATATTCCCTAACTGTCTCCGTCTTTCCATCAGCCCACCTCAGTATAAGACCATCAATCTGGAAAGAGGACCAGACGGACTGGGTTTCAGTATAGTCGGAGGGTACGGCAGCCCCCATGGAGACTTGCCGATCTATGTTAAAACTGTTTTTGGAAAGGTACGTCGCACGAATCTGTTTTATATTTAGCAAGATTGACAAATTGTGTGTTATTAAGCAAAAAACTCCACTCGCGTGTGTGCGCTTAGGGGGCAGCAGCGGAGGACGGCCGCCTGAAGCGAGGAGACCAAATAATGGCCGTTAACGGGCAGACTCTGGAGGGCGTCACTCATGAAGAAGCCGTTGGCATCCTGAAAAGGACCAAAGGAACCGTCACGCTCACTGTGCTATCATAGACACACATATGCAATAACCCATACACACACACACACACACACACACTATCTTCACAACTGTTTTTACACTTCTTATCAAACCCAATGTTAATCTACATCTATAGAGACTGAAACTTACTCAAACTGGCAAGTATTTCACAACTGGCAGATTCTCCTAAAATCACCAGATGTTCATCTGTGACAACACGTATACTGAAATAGGAACAACATTTTCTGATAATCATGGAGGAGCTTAATGTAGCTTTGAACACTGTGATCCACGTAAGCCTACAGCCAGTAGACTTATGTACAGTACGTCTCATAATACAATTGCTTTTATCACTGAAACAGTCCCCCAAAATAGTATGAAAGCTAGATGCATGAAATCATAGTTTGCCATACAGTGGTTTGATTCATTGTATGAATCTCAAAGAGGTTGTAAATAGTATTAGAATTATAGTCCAACTCAGTTACATTCCGTGGCTCTGGATTGAAGTATTCACTGAACATACTGGCTCAAGTATTTTGCCGTTTCCTGTGTAGAAATGAATGGCTTGTGAGATCATTATTTTACAACAGAGTACACAAGAGCAAAATCTGAATAGAGGAGAGGCCAATTTGTATCTACTTATAGGGGTCACCTCCCACTAAATTTAGAGCATGAAACAGCATGAAAACGCCGATGAGGTAATTAACAGAAAAGCAGAATTTAGCTAATGGCTGTATTAGCTGATAACAGCATTATTTGTCTTTTACATTGCACTGCTGTTGGCAATTCATCGTGCTGATTTTCCTGAAAGGCCGATGCTGCTGTAACTGGTGTGTTAATCAACTTGTTTTAGAGAGAGTAGCCAATAGAGCATTTTTAGGTGCTCATGGCTAGAAGTCTGGATGTTGTAAATACACAGAAAGATGTGAAATCCTTAAAACTAAGCGTGGTTTGAGTGCACATTTGACAAGATGAGGAATTTTGCGTGTATGTATGACCTACTCACTGAAATATAGTGCTGCTAAAGCCGATATATAAGGTATTATCTCAGTATTTTGATTTTTTTTTAAAGTATTAATTAATGTTCCCTTCATGAAAGTGCAAAGCAAAGAAAATGACCTGCTATCTAGGCTTGAGTGGACGTGTTTAATTAGTCAAATGACTATATAATGGACCTGAGCTCATTTTGACCTTTTTGTTTACCCAAAACAAAGTCATCTGGTGTGTAGTTCCTGAAGTCAGTAGGCTTGTGTTGTGTGGTCTAGTTTATGAGCAAGTTGTCTGTTCTCCGTCTTATCACCTTATGTTATGTGTCTCTAGCACTGTCAATGTGACAGTGTCGAATATTATTCACACTGAATTAAATAAAAGTGACCTTTGGATTCAATCAATGTGTTCCACTTTTTCACCCTTACACAATTAAATCCACAAAGAAAACAAGCTCTTAAATCTTAGCAGAGTGACGACAAACTTAAATATGGAAAAAACAAAGTTCTTAAATAACAGTTGAGCATAGTGAAACGCAGGGCAACTTTCCGAGCGCACCAGCTGTTTACTCGATCTAACTGCTTGTACAGTATACATTACTTCTACCATACATCACATGAATATATTTTCCATCCAGGAGATTAAAGCAATTCACTATCACAGTAGGTCCCATTTAAATGAAAGGCAAATGGTTTGAAGTAAGCTAAAACGCGTCGACGCTAAATGCACATGATAAAGATTTACAGATATGGGATAATATGGCCATGTGGACTTGCTTGAATAGACTTTGTGTTGTCACTTAAGACTTAATAAAGCCTGGATAGAGAGAGTTCCCCATTAAAATATGGCATCCCATCTGTCTGTACACTGCCAAGCACAGCTGCTTCATAGCCAGCCTGCCAGGTGGTTTTTGTGGAGTCCTATGCATGAAGTCCTTGTCTTAAGTCGGTTTACAGCAAACATGGGGGGCCACCAATTAATCACACGGGGTCACAGAAGACCTTTGAAGCCCTGTGTCGAATGAGGTCTGGTTTGTTCAGATTCAGTGGGCTGTTCGAAAAAAAGAACTCTTTAAAAGTCAAAGTACATATGCTCAACAGTTGGGTGACTCCTTCACCCTGAGGTCAATGCTCGACACAGCTACCTGCAGCTGCTGCTAGCTAAACCACAAGCTAGCTGCTAGCTAAACCACAAGCTAGCTGCTTGAGGTTACCCGGCCTCCCTCCAGGTTCAGGAGACGCTGGTTGATTTACACAAGACATGTCTGCACAAGCCTTTTAGATGTGAGATCGGATGTTACCGATGCGTCATGCTCGGCTTGAATGTGGGCGGATGGTGTTAAGTTCCACGTCAATGGCGCCAAAGCTAAATCACTTTGAAAGACTGCATTATCAAGATGTCAATCAGGCCTCTATGTACATTTTCATGGGATTTTACCACAAAGACTTCTTTGTTGATCTTATAAATGAAAGTTATAACAAAGACACTTTTTTTTAAATTTTTTTTTATTTTTTATTTTTTTTTCTCCTCTCCGGCTCCATGCAAAATGTCGACTCCATAACTAAAGCGTCTGACCCCACAGCTTTAGTTGCAGCCTGTGAGATAAGTTTTGTCTCTGCCCGTTCAAACATTTTAAAAGTCATACTCGTACATGATTCATGCTAGCGCCACACTGGCTATATAGAGGTTAAGCAAGCAGAAACCTAGTTGATGATTGGGCCATGGTGACTCGGCAAACATGCCAAATGGGACGCCATCAAGCCGGTTAAACTGTTAAAAGGGGTTTTGCTTAAGTCTTAAACTGACAAGAATGGACCTGACAGAAAAAATTCCCGAAGTGACTGTAGTTTTGATCCTGACGCGTTATGACTGACAATAATTGTAACGATGCTAGCAGCATTGCCTCGGGATGGCAATGTCTGTCAGTTGGTCAACCGCTTTGGTCTAGACTGAGATATCTCAACCACTATCGGATGGATTGCCATGTATTTCGTACAGCTATTCATGATCATCGGCGCGTGAAGAACACCGTTTTGTCCAACTAAAACTGCAAAACATTGTAAACATTATACCTGCTAAACATCTACATGCTAGCCTCACCACTGTGAGCTTGTTGCCATGCTTGCATGAACATTTAGCTGGTGCCTCTAAGCACATGCTCACAGAGCCACCAGCATGGCTGTAGATTTTACTCTTGTCAGTAGTCTCTCAGAGGAAAGTGAGCGTTTTTTTTTGTTTTTTTTTAAATTTGTTTTTCCAATTAAGTGTTCAAATCTTTTTGCCATCCTCAAACCTGCCCTGACAAGAACACGTGCAACTTTGAGCACACATGCTTAGTTAAACAACATTCACCTCCTGACTACCCGATCCGCCTTGTGGACTCTTCAACGTCACGGAAAAGAGTCAGGCATAATCAGACATCTCCTTTACACGGTGAGTGACTTTTTGTCTTGGAGACCGGGACGTCTTTAAAGGGTCACCTTTCCGAGCCTGCCCTTGCATAAACAAACAAGCAAAGATAATTAAATTTCCACTGTGGCATTGGTGGAAAATTGCTGCTTGATGAACAAACTGCTCTACAAGACAGTGTAGAGCAGTTTCCCTTCACCAGCTTTGAAGGAAAGAAGGTTTCTGAGGCAATCATTTGACCTTGTCACTTTGTTGCCTTAAGTCTTTACTTATTAGCTGTCAAAAAGATTAGCACATCACAGGTGCACACAGAGGACTGTGTGCATTGTTTGAGTCAGCATATACTAGTTGCTCTTTCACAGTCCCTCCTCTCAAGGCAGAGGTGTAACTGCTTGACTAATTGAGTGGAGATTGTTGGCAACAGCTGAACATTTCTGTCTTCAATAGATGTATTGAAAAACGGCTTGTTTTTCTAAGATTAGTATCTGTGACTAAACTTTATTTGAGTAGGATTTATGCTAACCAGACGATATGTGTAAGAATAAAAGAATGAAAAGGGAGCTCGAAAAAAACGAAACTTTTGCATGTCAAATTGTATCCAGCCCTGCTTGTATTCATTTGTTTGCTCTAGTTTGACATATCTCACTCTGGTGTCTTGTTTCTGAAACAAACAAAAGAATATATAACTCCCCTCCTTCATTTAAATGCTGACAATTCTGTTTTCTGAGTGAACAGCCCAGATACAAAAAAAACACATACTTCCCTTCTTCTCCATATCTTAAACTTATGCCAGAGTCGTTACTTTGCAAGCAGGTCGCTGAATGTTATCAGGATTTACATTGTCCCCCATCACGAGGATAGTGACAGCTCAGCACACACTCCTTGTGTTCTTGTTGAAATAGAGCTGGGAGTTAACCAAAGATGACATGCGAGATCGGATTTCCGCCTCACCTTTGGCGTGTTTGCACAAAGTTGACTGTGAGGGCTGAGGCTGGTGTTTGCACAGACAACAGAGCACATGTTCGATGAGGGAACACCAAACACTGACATTAAATGTTTGGTGTTTAGCCCCTTAACTGCAGTTATTACATGTTAGCAATACAAACAGTCTACTCCACTCAGACTCTTGACGTCACGGCACACGAGACAGTTTTAAATGACCCATCTCAGTAAACTACACTGTCTCTGATAACAGGAAGAGGCCTCGCCATAAGGCCACCGCTTGTCTTAAACACACCTTATGTGTTTCCCTTCGTACGTTTTGCATTTCTGTTACAGCTTCAAATGACATCACCGCGGCTGAGGCCTGATAAGGCAGTGTGTGTAATCATCCGTTTATGAGCTGTGTGTAAAGTAATGCGGTGACGCATCCCTTTAAAATGTTTGCAGAACCCAGGTTGGAAGAATCACCTTTGTTTGCCCGTGAGAGCTGCACATGTCTGACCTTGTGGAAGAAGGCAGGGCTGTGGAACCAGCTTTCATGGACAGAAAACCTGCATAGAGCCAGGACAGCATGAAATCAAATGATGCAGGCCAAGTCTGGTTCCGTCATCTCAATACAAATACCTCATTTAACTGGACATTTTATGAGAACATAGTCCGTAACTCTCGTCTGTAATCTAACAAGAATGTGAACCTATTTTGGCCTTAGTTTAGCATATTAGCATGCTTGCATATTAGCATTCAGCCATGACATCAGTACCAAAATATAGTGTGAATCCATCAAACAGATGTTGAAAGATTTCACTTGAGAAGTGAATATTGGAGCGGTTTGTGGTGCTACATCCAACATCAGGGGATCACTTCAGTTATTAGGATTCATCCTTTGGATACATATACGATAGCTGTACCAGATCCATCCGATAGATTTTGTTTAAAAAAAAACAACCTCATGGACGTACTAGAGGAAAATGTCTGGGTATCGCCAATGTTAGTAGGCCTCATCCTCTCAGGACCATGACTGTATGTACAAAATGTGAAGGCAATCCGTCAAACAGTTATCGAGATATATAAGTGTAGAACCTAAGTGGAGGAAAAAACGATAATCTTCGAGCCATGCCACTAGTGGGGCTAAAAAACACTACTGTAACGTAACCAAAGGTCTTGCAAACACTGCAATGTGCTTGTTCCACATGTTGTAGTGGTCTGTGTTATTGACTGCCATCTCTCATTGCTGGTGTAAAAACAAAGCCATCCTACTGATTTTTAAGGTTGGATGGAGAAATGAGCCAGTGATGAAAGCCCATTTACGCCTCCGGCCCTCGCTGTTATTTGAGCCCATTTTCTGTCTTCGCTCAGCAAACCGGCCTGCGCTATTAAATTGAAGCAAGTGCCAAAATGAAATGCCGTCCCGTGAATAACCTTTTTCTAAGAGTGGTACTTGCTCAGGAGTGGGATATATACTTCATCTGGAGCTTTAAAATTACATATTCAAGCTTGTTGTCCCAGAGAGCTTTCTGCAGTCTTTGATCTGGCATCTTATCAAGTCACTACTTGCATCACACAACCATTATCTCACCTTAACCTAGAATTGTTGTCATTCTGTAACAAAGGCTTGATGAAGTCTTAAAATTCCACCTGTGTGGAGTTCCGTATAGGGCAACTTTTTGATCTGAAGCCTAAAGGCATTTTTTTGCCCCATAATCTTATCTGTGGCGTAGCGCTCCAGTATCGACTTGAAGATGCCAAACACATACTGCTGAGGGAGCGATGTTGGGATTGTGGGGACATTCTTGCAAGGTTGCATTCTCAGACCGACCCATGAATAGTAAAAGACGGTCTGTACCAAACAGTCACGTTCCCACAGTTGAAGAGAGCCCTGAACGTGCTTATTTTAAAGTTGTGACAATTAATTTAAAAGAGTATTAGTTATGAAGCTCAATGAAGGTCTACATTCCAAAGGTGACTTTAAACAATGTTTTCCTTTTTTATCTAACAGCAACTATAAATGAACCTGTTCTGTGGCCACTGCTGTGTCAGTACTTAAGGTGC